GTGATGAACATCATGACCAAAAGCAACTCAGGGAATGAAACGGTTAATTCTTCCTACAATTCCAGGACACATCCCATCCCTGAAGAAAGTTAAGGAAGCAACTCAATCAGGAACTGGAGTAAAACTCATTGAGAAACCTCGTGCTCCCACTTGGCATGCTTTCTTATACAGCTTCATAACACCTTCGACCATGGGCTGGGCCCTGTCACATCAATCAACAATCAAGACAATTCCCCAGACACTTGGCCATAGGTCAATTGATTTAGGCAGATCCCTCATTTGAGACTCACTCTTCCCAGGTAAAAGTCAAGTTGCCAATAAAAACTCACCAGGACACATAGCAATAAAAAAAATACTACTTTCTAACCCCAAACGTATGCATGACTCATGGAATACATTCTAGTAATTTCCAACAGAAAGGCACATGCACATGTACTGTTGTCAAATACATGTACTGTTGCCTATTAGTATCTCCTGGGAGCTGGTGTTAGCATTTCTAGTGTTTACCTAAATCTCAAATACTTGATCCCTTATATAAAATTGTGTATGATTTGCATGTAGTCAACACATATACTTCTGCAAGTACTATAAATTATTTCTACTTACTTATAGCATCTAATGCAGTATATAAATGCTATGTAAATAGTAAACAAATTAGGGAAGCATAACCAGGTAAGAAACATCTGTTCAGTACAGATGTACCTTTGGTTTCAAAACATTTTCCACCGATTTCTGGTTGAGTCTGCAGATATGAAGCCACCTGCCTATGGAGTGCCAGCTGGACTTGGTATCCCCCAAAGCAATGTTTATATTTCCTAAACTCAGAAGTACCCAATGAAGCAATAGGGGGCCTTAGGGTTTCTGCTAGTAATTCTCTCTTGACTTCAGTGCACATGACACAAATGTGTTCATTTTGTGAAAATATTAAATTATGTTCTCTCATAAGTTAAATTACACACCCATAAAGTACAATGACCTAAATTTTATTTTTATTACCTTCCAGCACCATTATTAGTAGATTGCTTTTAGAACTGAAAAATATTCTTACACACATAAAAATAGTCATGCAATGTCTCCTGGGCAATCACCCCAGGGTCAGTCCTCCATGGGTAAAAACCCAAACATATTTCAATAAAAACAAAAGTGCCTAACAATGTTTAAATGTTAACTCTTAAAAAAACTAACTCCTTCCTTATTTTGCACAACATTCTCCCACCCAAAATCAGCTGAAACTGTTTGATATGGAATGTTGTTACTTAGATAACTAATTTTTATTTTCCATTTCAGAAAAATCAAAAAAACATTGTTCTGAGAAGTGAAGGCGTTATTTGAAATGACTTTTGTCACTACCTAGTTCTTCAGACATAGCATCTCAGATGGACATGTTTTGCGGTGAGGACCAGGTCAAAATGAAACAGAGAGAAACTAGACATGCATTATACTCCATTTACTGGAGGAAACATAAGTATTTGCTAATGGTCTTCTAGTGATGAAATCATTAAATCACGAACAAAACCTTTCCTAGGATTTCATGCCCAGCACAGCATGTGACATCAGGGGTAGGAAAGGGCAGACTGTCAAAGTTTTTCTCTTCTGGAGAAATGTACAGATGTGCATAGTAGTCAATGACACATGCTCACATATCAATGCCAAACAAATGGTTATTATAGCAAAGTTAAAAAGTAAGGAAAGGGAAGGGAAATTTTTTCATATTTTCAAAATGGTACCTCCAAAGCACTGTTCTTGACAGTCAGGGATGAGTTCCTGGAGGCAGCTTCTAGTCAAGTGAAATTGAATTTATATTTGGGTTATCCTTTTGTCAACATTGTGCAGTTACTTAACACCTTAGAGCTTTGAATTTCATCTGAGAACTAGGGTTGATTCTGATGTCTCTATTCCTTTTGTGAGGTTAGGAGGAAATAACCTGTAACAAGAAGGCTACCCCCACCACCTGCATTGTTGCCCCTTTCTATGTATGAATAATCAACTCCTGAGACTCTTTAATATCAACAGTGAGCAGGAGACAGTTGGGAGGCTGCTAAAGCTCAGAGCAATCACCGAGAAAGATGTCTTGGGGTTTAGGATGCAAAACAGATGACAAAAGTTGGGACAAATACAGAATAGTACAAGGAGACCAAGAGAGAACAGAACCTGGGAAAGAATAATAAACCAGGCTACTAAGTTCTCTAAGGGCTGTGGAGTACCGCAGTGTGCTGGTTAAGGTGAGGAAGTCAAGAATACAGACATGTCAGCTCTGAGTACTTAACTGCCCAGTGGAAAAACAAACCTGCTTTGCTTTCACTTATTTATATGAGTGACTGAGGACAGGATAGGGGCTACCAGCTGCCCCTGCCTTGTGGACTGTGGACATTTGGAGAGGGAAAGCTCTTTATGGCTGTAGCATCTGGCAAGATTTAGGTCCAGGTCTTGACAGATCAACAGTATGTGGATCCAAGGAAGGAAAAGAGGACTTGTTGAAGGCAGGGGCTGCACTATGAAGCTTCTTCAGGCAATGGAACCTTGTCATCCACTGATTAGCTCTTGAATATGCATCAGAGCAGAAGTCTCAGGGTTTGGTTAGGAGGTACTTTCTGAGAGGATAGGGAAAGATAATGAAAGAGACAGTAAAATGAAAGCCTGTTCTTCACAGATGGGAGTTTAAGCTTTTCATTGCAATACAAAAATCAGTGGACTCCTCTCCAAGAATGGGGAGAAATAGTCAATCCCCAAGTGCATGTGTCCTTTGGTTCAAAGTCTACCCAATACTTTGCCTAGTGTCAATTTCACCATCACAACCGTTAAATTCTCCTTGAGGTATTTATTCACGTCAGAAAAAATTAACCATATCAAAAAACTGAAGAGATGAGCTATTATCAGATTCAGCTATTCCTACCTTTGATTACGTTTTTAGTATCAGATCCTAAGGATGTATTTTTTAAAGGGGAAGAAAAGGAGATAGAAAACCATTGAAGCAGGGTCTGCCTTCCTTGTGAGAGGGGGCTGACACAGAAGATACCCACAGATAGGGTTGCATGGGCACTGATGAATTAAGGATCTTGCTGCCTCGTCCCTTCCTAGCATACCCCAGGCCCACAAATCCTCTTGACACCCAGCAAAGGTTTTCTAACAACAGAAGCATCTTGCAGTTGTTGAGAATATTAAGTGAGAATGTATGGAAGAGGGTTGTAGAGAGAGCTCACATACAGTTTCCAGGATCTACATGGAACAGTACACAACCTTCTGTAATTCTAGCTCGGGCGGTGGGGGGGGGGTCTGATGCCTCTGGCCTCTGCTAGCCTGCATATACACATTCTCCCCCCTCTGTGTGTCTCTCTCTCTCACTCACACAATTGATAATAAAACAAATATTTTTTTTCAAAAAGGAAAGAATGCAAGGACATATGAAAGTTCTCACTGTCAGCTATCAACTAACTATAATCACTCATATCCAATGGCGCTAGGACCCTGGGTCTTGCCAGTTTTGGCGAGGTGGGGGGTGAGGTGAAGAGGGTCCACTTGTTCCAGGATTGGATGTCATTGGAAACAGCCCTAGTTAAGGAGGCCAGCGAAATGCTCCATCAGCAGGAATCTGGTCTCCCTTGTTCCACCCACACTTCTCTGGAGCAACTAGTTCTCTGTGTGTGAGACCCGCCCGCGCGCCACCCGCAGACCTGTGCCTCCTCCAGGACCTCTGGGAAACTCGCTGCCAAACCCAGCTGTGGTGAAAAAACGCGCCGCTGCGCTGGTAAGTGGAGGCGGGAGAGCCCTGCGCTCCTGAAGGAGTCTTCGTGGTGGCTGAGAGCACGGTGAGAGGCATAGATCCGGACAGAGGAGACCAGCCTGTGCTGCCCTTCCAAGAAGAGAGCCCACTGCTTTCTCACTCCTGTTTCCTTGTGGAGACCAGGAGGGAGGGGATGGGGCCTAAAACCCCACTGGCGTCCTCCCTGTCCACGGGTACCAAGCTGCATCATTTGACCTTCCACTCCCCTCCCTCTGGCTTCTCACAACCCCACTCCCCTCCCCCCCCGCAGCAGTGCCAGGTCCCCTAAGGACACTCCAGATCTTGGACACAGATATTTTGCAGGAAGAACAAGTGGGTCACACATGTCCCCCGCCAAGAGTATTCTTTTCCTCCGTTTCCCCTAGGACGAGTACCCTAACTTCTCCCGAAGTGGCCAGCGGCACCCGAAACTCCAACAGTTCAACTCGGACAACTTGGAATGGGGATCCCCGTGCTCCCCGGGGAAAGCCATGCTGGCTGCCCACATTATCAGGAGAGGACACCTCGACTTCTCCGTGGGGAATCCCCCTCAGAATCCATCTCTCTTGGCGGTGTGGTGTCCCGCAACAGCGAATTAAGAACTCTACAAACAGGAGAGAGCTTTGGGGGTGGGAGGTCGTGGGAGGGGGCCAGAGCGCAGAAGTTCCGCACGGGTTTTGGAGAACCCCATCCATGTTTCTAAGTCAGAAAACTCTTGTCCGCGGAAAAAAAAAGCAGGGACCGAAGTCGTTGGGAGGGAAGTCCTCTAGGCGTGGGTCGGAAAACTGGGGTGAACTGCAACGCTCAATCTTCGAGCCACGTCGGTGGGAAACTATTCTTCCTCCAGGGTGTGGGGGCGGGGAGACTTCCCTGGCAAAGCAGTAGACGTCAAGCCCAGCTGCTTTGGACTCTATCCCTCTGTCCCCAGGCAGCCTGGAGAACTTGGTACCTCGGACAGCAGCCCGGGCGCACAGCATCCTTTGCAAGGTGCGGTCCTATTTTCCCCTCACCAAGTCAAACACTAACAAATTATTTCGCTGACCTTTCTAATACAGATGAAGGACATTTTAATTACATAACCCACGAAAGATCACCGGAGGCAATGTCGTGTTTGAGAGCCGAAGGCAGAATAGCTGCATAGCATGAAAAAAAGACAGAAAACTTGCAAATCTGCAACGAGATTGCACAAGGCTGTCCGTCCTCTGGAAACAACATTTGAAATGCATGGGAGAAATCTTACCTTTCGGACTCCAAAGCCGTGTTCTGCTGCAACTTGGCGAGCCTCTTCCTCTCCGTCTTTATGCAACTCCACAAGAAAATGATTCGTGAAGACGGGTCTCTCGCGGCAGACGCAAAAACCATGACACAGAAGAGGAGCCCTGCCGCCTTCCACTGGGATCCACAACCGCCCTCCATCCTTCTTTGGGAGTGAAAAGTGGGGCTGCGAGGCGCGCAGGCGGGTGGAGCAGGGGACGAGGAGGGAAGATACAAATAAAAAATAGGTATGTAGTTTTTGTTTCTGTTTTTCTTTTTAAAAATCTTTGTATAGCAAAAGAGGCAAAAGAATAGCTTGGCAAACAGCAAATCTGTGCGCTGTCCACCAGCAGCTGGCTGCCAGAGAAGCCGTGGAGTCGCGCAGCCGGGCTGGCTGGCAGGGGTGCGAATGTGCGGAGCTATGTGTACCCGAGAGAAAGAGCTAGTGTATGTCTGTGCTTGATGCTAAATCTGCATTTTCAGCTCCTCCTAGGCTCCAATTCCACAGGGCTGGAGGCGAGCGCTGCCCCCAGTGAC